GTCTGCGAATATCACATAAATTCATGTGAAAACATTAACTTTATTATCTGTGATTTATCCAGTGAAAGTGAATGAACATAAATATGGCGCTGCTCAGTATTATTTTCAAATATGGAGACGAAGTCGGCAGTCTATTTATTAGAAGTTATTTATTAGAAGTCTATATACATCATTCTGTAGAAGAAAAATTATTTTCAATGGGAGAAGTTGTTATACTGTAACAACTTGTCCTGATCGAAGTATAATAATTTGCTCCAATCTTCCATTTTCGAAAAAATACAGATGAAAACCAATATATGTACGGATTCAAACAAAATATGTTATTATGATCAAATATATATAAAAAAAAATATACAAAAAGATAATCACATACTTCTAACTTATATATACAATAAAAACACAAATGATTTATACAATGAAATATTTACTTTTAATAATGAAAATCAAGGAAATATGTAGCGTCTTCTAGAGTTCAAGTATGGCGGCTATTTATATATAAACATAGAAATCGATTAAATCCTGAAATATTTAATATATTTTAAGTATTAAATAAAATATGTATTTTATAAGTTGAAATATTTGCATTTTACTTTTATACTCAAATTATTACAGTGTATAACGACTTTAATATGATCAAGTGAGCACTAATGCTTTCATTCGAATTTACCTTAAGTGAAATTGTAGAGTATCGTAGGAATATATAAAAATATATAAAAATTTATAAAAATGTGCTGCCACCTTTGACAACTAAAAAAATATTAATAGCGGAATCAATTGGATGCACTGGTGTACATTAAAGCCGCCGTGCAAAATAACATAAGATATATTTGTATATAAACATAGAAATCGATTAAATCCTGAAATATTTAATATATTTTAAGTATTAAATAAAATATGTATTTTATAAGTTGAAATATTTGCATTTTACTTTTATACTCAAATTATTACAGTGTATAACGACTTTAATATGATCAAGTGAGCACTAATGCTTTCATTCGAATTTACCTTAAGTGAAATTGTAGAGTATCGTAGGAATCATATATAAAAATTTATAAAAATGTGCTGCCACCTTTGACAACTAAAAAAATGAACTGTAACAATTTACTCGGATGCGTTCGGGAAGACTATTTGCGCTATTTAGCGCTATAAACTGTTCGCGGAGCTGCAGATAGTGCTAACAAACACGATCATCACTAATGGTAGCGTGTTACGTCACAACTGCGCGTTATCAACGCTATTCCTTCCGAAGTAGTGTATTGATTAGCGTTTACAGATCCGTGAACGATTCTAGCGTAGCATTGGTAGCGTTTAACATTCGTCAAAGTTAGATTAATGTTTGAGGGGACGTTCTGTTCTCGAATGGCACCAAACTTTTCTCTCTTAGAATTTCATAAAGTAAACGTACGTAATGTGTGAATTTCAAATTTTATCATAATGAATGCAATCTCAATTTTAATCTCTGCTGATGGTTTATCATTAGGCTGGAGTGAACGTAATTCTTGCTTGTGTATCATCTTTAACTTTTCAAGTTTCTATGAAGTTCAACTTGTGTATTTGCTTTCATTATAAATATGAAAGTCAGAGATATCTTGTCTGGCAATTTTTAATTCCCGTGTACGGAAAAAAGTTACTATTGCGGTATAGTGACAGGATATTCCGCTGCAGATGCTTAAGGTCCTTATTAGATGTACTTCTTCTTCTGAAATCGAAATGGATGCTTAAGAGTTCTTTTATCTCATTAATTTACTTAATGTAACTATTAATTTTTTAATCTAGTTTACATTGTTCTCTCTGGCCTAGTGGCAAGCTATCATAGAGATTGCAATTGAGATTCTGTTATTCACTACGAGAAAATTAAAAATTTATTACAAATACTTTATAAAACCTTAAAAATTTTAATTATAGAGAAAAATTATTTGGTGATTGAAAACAGAATTCCCTACATTAACTTAACCTCGACGAATATATCTCTCTGGTTAAACGCTACCAACGCTATGCTAGAATCGTTTATGGAGCTTGTTAACGCTATCGCGCTATTGACTCCAGGAACAGCGTTGGTAGTATTTGCGGTAGTGTAGCACGAATAATGTCTCCGCGAACGCATCCCCCGTTTAACAACTTGCCCTGGTCTTCCCTATATCTTATTTAGATCATGTCATATGCTCGTTAATATTATACAAATAAAATTAATTTACAGTCGATAATATAAATTGCTACACATGTTCCAAAACTTGAACAATTTTCAGACATCTTTCTAAAATGTCTGAAAAACGTCTAAAAATCATCTTTTAGAAAAATCTTAAAGACGTCTATTTCAAGATGTCTTTTGGATATCTTCCAGATATATGCGTTCTCTACGTTGATTGTCGAACGATAATCTAGAAAGAGGATATTATAATGACTATAAATATAGTATATGCGCATGTACATATACAGGATGTCCGGAAAATCGCTCGCAATACTTCGGGAAGTGATTCGAGACTCAAAAAGAAGAAAAAAAGCTAATTTTTATAATTCACGTTGATTCGTGATTCACACTGAATTATTTAAAGCATTAAAGATCCAGCTTTAACCGTTATAGGATTTAATATTTTTACTTATTATTTGTGTATTTACATTACGGTTTTAATAAATCATTTATTATAGGATATTATAAGTGTCCATGTGTTGATGCCCGCGCCGTGCTGTTTTCAAGTGAAATGAGTGACCGACGAAACGAAATTGAAGAACGCGTCACCAGTAATAACAGTTGATGGGCTATTAAACGGGCGCCGTAGATTTGATTTGACGAATCGTCGCTCCGATCGCTTCCGTATCTCTATGCTGTTTACATTTTTTCGCTGTTGTATGTGTAAACAAACAGTTTTGCTCGTTTCTCTAAATGTCTTTTTCATTTCTATAACTCGAGAGTGCATACGTACAGGCTTGCAATTCGATTGCGCGAGCATAATAATATTTCTACGTAGCACGTAATATCACAGTAATATTACAGCAATATTTTTATATTGCAATATTACAATGAAATTTAGCAGAAATATATATTATATATTAAAATATTGACTGAGATGTCACAGTAATAGTCACAATATCCGCGAAAAAGAATTATAGGAATATTACTACTTGTAAGATCACAAGAATATCAATATAATATTATGTAATATTTCTGCGATATTTATGTAATGTTTACATTTATGTAATATTTATTGGGAAAAATTAAAATGTTTTAAAGAGAATTTATTGAATTGATATTTTTAATGTTATTCTGTATGATATTAATTATCCAATTAATATTTGAAAAATTATTTCATGAATTTGTTTATGGAATTGTAATAGAATTGATTTTACCCTTTTTTGTTCTTATTTTTATTTTTATTTCAATAACTACATAATCAATAACTACTTTATTATTTTGACTCTCATTGTATTGACTCTGACTGTCGACACAAGACCTTTACATCGAATCGCACAAGAAAACTTTATATGTTTATATGTAAGTTGATATAATTAAAATTCAGACAAATGATTTTAATAATTCTCTATTTTTCGTTTTCATGTTTCATTTGAATGATTACACAGCAAATCTGACAATCTGATGAGCGATGTGATTCTACTTAGTGACGCAATATATATGATTTCGGTTTTACTTTATGTAAGTTTTTATATTATTATTGTATAAGTTAATATTTTTGATAATCATTAGGCTTCATATTACATAGCTAATTTGGATAAAGAAGAACGAACTAAATTGTCGGGAATCATCAATTTGGAATTTGCATAATTTATAATATGTAATTTCGATTTATATTTTATATTGATAAGAACTCGAATTGAAAAGTCGAAATGTATATTTTATTCGTTTTGTTACATTCACACGAAAATAAAGCATTTTCTGTACCGAACAGCTGATGTAGGTCGTCTAATGAGCTTTTTTACATTTTTCACTGATAGATGATTCTTTCGATCTTCATTTCAATGTTGGTTATCGACAGATGTATATTATTTGCCCACATCGCTAATTGGCTAATTTAAAATAATAAAATAATCTCATTGTAAAGCAGTAAAAAATACTAGGAACCGACTGATGTTAGCGGTGTGTGCAATTGAATTGCGTGCAAGTGCACCGTTCTTATTGTCAACATGTAATATATCAATAATATTTCTGTGATTTTATTGTAATATGATAATGTTTGATTTTATTGTAATATATAATATTTCTGATATATTGTAATATTACTGTGATATTGTTGTGATATTACGTGCTATGTTGATTATTAATATTCATAGATTTTCCAACAGTTAGTTTCCTTAAATGTATTAGTGACATCGACTCAATCAATAAGTTTGTTTTTACAACTAAATTAATCTACACTTTTGTACTTAAAGTGAAATATATGTTTGAATTTAGAGAAAGCGAGAAGGAAAATTTTAATGCAATAATAAAAAATAAACTTAGCGTTTATGAAACGATTAGTTATAAGAAGGTTGTGCAAAAAAAAAATCACAGAAGCGTATTCTCTGGTCGTATATTTACTTTTTCTATCGTCAAAATTCTAAAATTAAAAAAGTGTGACGAGTATTGCGCGCAGGACAACTGCGCTGATTACACGCTTGCGCAATGCTCGGCGCCAGTGGTTCTCCACAAGCACAACGCATTCACGTCATTCGTCGCGCGTCCTCCGAGCGCGGCTGTCGCCGGATTCGTATGCAAAGCGCGTCCGTTGTATGTCTTTTGTGCATCACAAGACCACGTGGTACCACTCGCTTCAATTCCCGCCGGCGCGCGCTAATCTTCGAAGTTGCCTTCACGCGTGATCTCTCAATTGAGTTTCGTGTTCGCCATTCCTTGTGGATAAAAGAAATCATTAACAATAAGAGAACATCGCATACAAGTAAAAACCTATAAAAATTCGAGTTCTCGACGAATGCGAGTAGACATGCCAGCGAGGAGCGGCTATTGATCCCCGTGTTCCCGTATTTCCCGTTCACGTTCATAAGTGCGTGCCAGTGCGGTGATATGTCCAGAAGGAAGCAGGCAAAACCTCGATCTCTCAAACGTAAGTCGCTATTGTCACATCTTTATCATTATACAGTCTTAATTATAAATATAAAAGATTTGTTCGCGTCGCATGCTCCATTATATTTAAAAATGCTAGAGCATATTGGAGCGAACAAACCATTCCCCATAAATTGACGAAAAATAAATTAAGAAATAATTTGAAAAATATTTATTCTTATCATAATTTTATAATGTTCTTCTTTGGTTTTTATTATCACCTTTTTCAAGAAAATATAATAAATTAAAAGGTGCTTTATACTTTACTTCTATATATGTTCAATATGAATGTTCGACTTATTAATTGTATATTTATAATATTTTTCTCTTTTTCTCTCATTGACAATACATAAAAATCGATAACTTTATTAATTGAAGATCAAGTATAAACAAATTAGCCATATAATTTAATTTAATTTATTTTTTTATTAAAAAGATATGTCTCAATAATAAATTCAAAAATATTGATTACAAAACAAATTGAGATAAATGAAAATACGTCGTGTACATATTATAGTACTTCAATGATGGACAATTGCAATTCATAATAATACTAGAAACCTTCTCGATTCGCCGTAGCGAAAGAAAAAGATGGCAAGGAAAAGAAGAAAGCTTTGCGCGCAAGGGACAAATCAAAATAAAACAAAATGCGAGAATTTGCTGTCCCTAGGCTTTACAGAATTAACGTTCATGAGTTTCACATTTGTGTTGCAAAGACATGTGAATAATAGCAAAGTTCGTTACAAGGTGTTTATCCAAAGCCCGTGAAAGCATCGTTGTGTAAAGGACAAAAAAGAAGTTTTAACTAAAAGGGTACTTCGTGAAACTTCCAGACACGTGCAACTGTGCCCCGAAATAATGTATGATACGAATGTCAAAAGCCGTTATTGTTGCAGAAAGTCTACTGTAATAATTACAAAAATAATCGAATTAGTTAAACTTCTAAGTAACTCTAGAACTTTAGAATTCTACTGTTTTTAACAATTGTACATTTGCATTTTATGATCGCATGTTCTAATATTACATTATATTTTATTTTGATATGATATAAGAATAATGATTTGCAATATAATTAAAAAAGTAAGGAGTAAATAATTTAGAAAGAAAAAATTTTTAATATAAAATTTAATTTCGGGGAAAATAGATTGATAGATGAAGTATACTCGTCAAATATGTGTGTGATATTGTATAATTTGATTGATATATAGCCTAAGCTATATATAAACATCTTCAAGTTATTGTATTTTCTCAGAAAAGGAAAATTAAGAAAAGAAAAATTCAAAGAAAAATTAACAAAATATTCAAATTGTTATAAAACTAAATATTATTTTTAATAAAATTAAAAAAAATTTTTTTTTATTAGATACAGTTTACGTCATAATTTGTGATGGCTTTATACTTTTGACTAAAGCTTATTTATTTTCACATTTATACATACTCTTCATTTTTATTTTTATTTGTTATACAAGAATGTATTATTTGTTATGTAGAAACATACATTAAATCGTTGATTAACTGTCTTATTAATTTTGTAAATGATTGTTGATTTTTTAAAATTAACTGAAGAATAATTGCTCTATTCACGAAAAAGAATTTATTTTTGTTAAATATTCACCTAAAAGTGATCAACTATTGAGTAAGCAGCGTATGTCAATTCGATGAACAAAAAATAGAGACAAATAGAAAGGTAAAAAGCGTTGAGCTTACGAGGATAGTGGAGTAGATTAAAAACATATGTGCAACCAAATAACCGAAATATAGTTCTTCTAAAAAGATAAAGAAAGAAAGAAAGAGATGATACGAAGAAAGTAAATACTGAAAAAAGAGCGAATCATAAATGTGGAATAAAGACTAAGAGAGAAGGGGGAAGGGGGAGGAGAAACAATGCAGAAAACGAAACAAATAGATGTGGAAAGAAAAATGATAAGAGAAAGGAAACGGAAATGTTTTGGATGAAAGAGAGAAAAAGAGAGATATTAAAGAGTTGATGAAACGTGGAGGATAAAAGAAAGACGGAGCATCTCACTGCAAAGAAAAGAGAAAAAGAGAGAAAGAGACAGAGTAGGACATCAGCAGACATGAATGGCAGAAAGAGAGGAAAGGAAGGTACGCGAGATAGATAGAGAGGAAGATAAAGGGGAGAGGAGAGTCAGTAGTCAGCCAGGATGGAATTAGGTGGAAGCCCGTGGGAGACCGGCGCTGGTCTCCGGGGAATCCCCGGCCTCTGTAATCACCAGTTCGCCTATCCTATCCAATTCTGGTCGCACTCCTCTCGTCCTCCTCGTCCTGCATCCTCCTTTTGCGTGCGTATCTCTTGCTCTCCTCCAGCTTTTCAACCTTTCCTTCCTTCTCACTCTATTCTATACCGTTTCCTACGATTTCTCTCCTCTCCTTTGAGTCTGCTGTTTCTCCGAGTTATTCTCCATTTGCACTCTATGCGCAACAGTTTTTCATTCGTTTCATTTTTATTTTACAACTTCTTTCGTATATATATATATATATACTTTCTTCAGATCTTTATTGTTCATGCAAGAAATTGTTCCATTTATATAAATAGGAAAAGTAGAGTACGTAAGATCCGTTTTAAATATGATTTTATATTTAAAGTAGATTTTAGAAATTATAGATTCTCAATTCAATTCTAATACTGTAAACGCTTAAAAAAAATGCAATTTATAACCACAAAGAGCTCATAGGCTAGCAATAGCTGTATGTAGTGTAATAGTATTATTACGTATATGGTACAGCGCGGCTCTTTTTCATCGAAATTGCGACCGCACCGTGGCACTCGTATCATTTCTCGTTTGTTGGTAGAATTGACGATTGAGCGGAAACGAAAGTTTTCACATTGATCGTTTCGAGCCGGTTGCTACTCGGTAGCACACATCCGGATTCCAATAGTGAACGTAAAAGGTAAGGTAAACTCGACTGTCAAAATATTGGCTGATTGATGAATAAAGAGTTTTTCACATGATTTGGATAGGATGAAACAATAATGTCTACTAATTTTTATTTTTAGCGTTAATTGATTTTTACATCTGCTATAATCATTTACTAAAAAAAAATAACATTTCTTAAATTAAATTAAACAAAAAGATTTTTTAATATGCATCAAAATTATACATTCAAAAAGTGCAAAAAATATTCGTACATATAGCAGACAGCTTTAAAAAAAAAACGTTTTTAGAAAGTAAATATTAGTTAATAATTTATCAACAAAGAATAAAATAGATTATATATTTCTTAAAATTACTTTACCTAAAAGATATAATTAAAATATTATATATTATTTTAATAAAGTAAGTATTATTTTAATAAAGTAAAAATGAAAAATTGTATTATTTGGACGCACAAAAAGTCTCGTAAAAAATATTTATACAGAAATTTACTTTTAAAGTCATAAACAATTATTTCCGCGAAGCTCTTTTGCTTATACCAGGACAGAATGAATTTACTGATAATAACTGTCAATTGATATTTATTTTCAAATCAAAAATTCCTGTCATTTTGCAATTTTCGCAATAATTAATAAATTATTAATTATTAAAAATTGCCGACTACATTGGTTTTCAATAATTCTTTACTCAAGTACTATTTTACATTTTAGAGAAACAGCAAGAGATAAAAATTGTTTATTTTCTTCTCATAGAGCTCTAAGAATTTTTTCAGAATTTTTTATCAACTTTTTCTTTATTGCATTTATTTATTGGCCAACATGAGAAAATGCACTGAAAAAATCTGAAACAATTCTCAGAACTCTAGAGAAGAAAATAAACAATTTTTGATTACACTTGCTGTTTTTCTGTAAAGTTTATAGCACTTGAGTAAAAAATTATTGAAGAATATTCAGCGATTTTTAATATTTAATATCTTATTAACTACTGCAAAAATTGTAAAATGGTAGAGGATTTTTGATTCAATTTAGTCCGCTGTATCTTTATGCAAGAGTTTTATCGTTATTTATCAAACATCTTATATATATGACATGACGTATCATCATTTTTTTAACTTTTAATTTTAAATATCTCAGAAATAAGGACTTTAATTCTTCATATCAACTACGTTCATCTCCTGAATCTAGTACTAGCAAAGTTGTTAAATTTATAACTAAATATCCAGTAGTGACAGCATGTACGACATAAATTGGTAATAAAAATATCCGACAAACATTGTACATGTTTGCTTGTTTATTGTGATATATAAATCGTCTTTTATTGCATCAAACCGACTGCCATCAGGACGTCACGAGCCAGTGGTTAACCACGAAATAGCAAGCCGAACCGATAGTATTGCTAGTGATATAGGGTGTTGCTAATTAATGCACGATAATGAACCTGCGCGCGACCGAAGCCATATTAATGGATTCCAATGCCCTCGTCATAACGTGGACAACCGATAGGTAGCAGTTGAACGGAGGATAATTGTGTTAATGGGAATATATCGGCTTGCCTGAGATTATTTCTACTTGCATTTCAAATTTATTTTTCAAAAAATCGTAAATAAAACGGATAGATGAATCGGTTAAATTTTTCTATTATCAAGATTCAGTAAAATTTTTTTCTTAAGATTTTTACCAATGCTGAGTATTGCATTGAATACATATTAAAATTATTAATTTTTTTTGTCATTTATTATTGTTAACTTGATGAGAAGGAAAATGCATCGCATAGAAAAAAAATAGAAAATCACTCAAATATATGTTTATGAAGTAAAATTTTTTTGTCGATTCACTTGTGGACACGAATACCATATATTGAAACTGAAAATATAACTGTACCGATATTGTTAGAGAAATCTTAATTAATCAATCTGCACAGTGCATTAGAGCATATATTATATATTATATGTAAATTCGGTTGTCCATGTGCATATGCATTTCTAATAACAAGTATGAAGGAACGCCTAAATATACTCGATATATAAGCGCATTATAATTGGTGAGTAGGACGCAATGACCTGAATCATGTGCATTATGCCTCAGGAACGTGATTGTAATTTGTG